GACCATGTTTGGGACATTGGAAGCCCCTGTTCTACAGACCTTCTGATCTGGGTTCCTGCACACACCTCCGTACCCTGCCTTTCATCGGAAAACGTACAGATGTCAGAGAGATCAAGGGCGCCACGACCTTGGCAGGACAACAAGGGATCCACCACACTGATCGTGAATCTGCAGCTAAAGAAATTAACTGCTGATGGCAGGCGTGGTCAGACTCTGGCATCATCCATTCCATGCATGTGGGAGAATTTTATTTATTTATTTATTTTTAAATAAATCAGCAAGAAACTCCTTCAGCTACAATTTTTCACCACGGTGCTGTGAACCGTGAGTAATAGATTGGGGCAAAGATAATGAAACAATGAGGTGGGGAGGGTGTGCTTTGGGTCAGGAGATGATGGGAAATCAGAGCATGTGGACAGCGCTGGAATCACTGCAGCTTTGGCGAGTTTGACGGGGTTGAGGGCATTTTATTGAGGAATAAACTCCTGCAGCCCTGAAGTAGAATATCAGAGCCAGGTGGGAACCTGACAGCGATTTAATTGGAAATGCACCATATGGTAGCTTGTTTTACAGTTGCACTGGGGGTGTTCAAGGAAGGGAGCGCTCTTCGCTAAACACAACCAACCACAGCGGGGTGGCAGAAAAAGGAAAGTTTTTAAAGAAAAACAAGCCCCCGCAGCTACAGGAAGCTGTGAAAGACAGGGGTCTGGGGCTGAGTGTTCGTCAGACTGCGTCGATGGCACTCTGCTCGCACAAAACGCCCAAATCCAACATCACCTAAAGGTATTCCGCTTTTCAGAGTAGTAAATTTCCACCCAGATTTATAAAATAAAAAAAATAAAAAACTACCTGTTTCCCTGCATCGCAACTCTCATTTTACTGCACGAACCCATGAAAGGGGAGATGATCTTTTGCATAACATGTAAAGCACAGACAACTAGCTGGGTATCTCAAGAGGGTTTCAGGGACACACAGAACTGGCAATAACTAACTAGCACTCTTAAACCTGCATCCTAGCAGCACTGGCTGCCTGGATCTCCCAGAGTTCACCACGCGAAGGTGCCTCTGCCATAACTTAATTTCACTGGCCCGTTTTCACAGCCTGACCTATTCCTTTCCGGAAATCACTTGGAGACACGCCTCCCTTCCAGGTCAAAGGCCAAGCAGGCGATTACCTCCGCACTCGCACGCAAATTCAGCATCTGCGTGAGAATGTACATGCACACCCAAAACAAGGACTGGCAAGGTCAGACGAACAATTCAAAACTATTTATGTAGCAGACATTTTCATCCAAAGTGATGTACAATTGAAAGCAGTGTCAGCAGTAGCAGTGAAAGACCATGCCGAGGGGCCCACTGATGACATCACTGTGCCAACTCTGGGATTTGAACTGGTAACCTTCCGATCACAGTCCTAATGCTCTGAGCCACACCAGGGGCAGAGAATGGGCATCACTGCAGGAGAGGCCAACCGGGGGGGGGGAATTAGGTTGGGGTTATATTCCTGTGAATTTTTCATGTTCGTCCATTATGAAAAGGGGCACTTGGTACAGTTCACTAAATTTTGTGGTGGAGGCTGGGGGAAATTGCAACCCCCCCACTACTGAACCACACACTGCCAAAGAGTGCCAAGGCAGGGTGTATTCCACATGGGGGTGCCAGATGTATTCATAAAGCAATACAAATGCACTGGATCCCTGGTTTCGGATGCTTTGCGCTCATCCCCTCAGCTGCACTGGCTTAAGAACAACCAGAACCCTCCAGGTTCACTGCAGGTTTCCCCATTTTGGCCGGGAGCCAACGTTTACAGATCCAGAAACTTCCGTTTCTCGTTTTCCTGACCTGAACGGATTTTCTTCCTCAAGGGTTCACGTTTAGGCTGAACATTCACAAATAAAATCAGCCAGTGTCATGGGAACAAAAATGAAGACGACAGCAGCTCCAGTCTGCTCACTCTCCACTGGGAAAGGCGAATACAGAAGCCATTCCGCCCAACCTAGAACAGGAGCGAGCCCACTGGTACCACTGGCCCAGCTGCCCCTTTGTGTCACATCTCCGGCTGCCCCACATAGTGACAAAGCCATGTTGTCAGGAGGCACCTCTTGGCAGCAAAGCACTTACAACTACACATGAATTTAAGTGATCAGGCCCCGCCTCCTTCCCCATTCTCACCTCAATCCCCATTCTCACCTCAATCCCCAAAAACCTCTCCACAACCTTGATATTTTATATCCTCGCAGAGGGGAAACATTAAGCCTCACATCCACTCGCATTCCTCCGTTGTGTACTCAGCTGTCAGCAAACAATGCAGAATAAGGACAGGAAGCCACTGGGGGGGGGGCACACCCAGGAGTCAAGGATGCTATGCACATTCCAGTTGTACTGTGGGGGAACAAGCACGCACACAGAAGCATCTCATTGTGCTGAGTTACAAAGAAACACGGACGTACATAAAGGAAAATGTAGCATGACACAGGCGAGACCCAGAACGCCAGCAAGTGCAGTCCATTACCATCCATTTGACGAGCTGTAAAAATCTAATGCAAAGTTGGAATAGTTTCTAATTTCACTTAATCTAATCGAGGCACCTCTCTACAGTGATTATAATTAAGAGCTCAGCTGTCCAGAAGCAGTGAGAAATGGGGGGGGGGGGGGGGTAATGCTAAGTGGTCATTACATTATGAGGCCAGTGTCCAAGATTAGGAGGGGCCCAATGGCACTCTATGGAAGCGAGACTTTCTGCAGGAAGGTCTGCTCCTCACCAGTTGCGTTTAGCTGTGCCACACCTGTCGAAAAAGCAACGGGGGGTTCTGAACTTCATCAAAAGGTTACATTAGTTTAAGAACCATAGAGGCTCCCGTGGCTCAATAAATAGAAATAACAATACAAAGGTTGTGGGTTCAAATCCCAGGGAGCACACAAATTGTAACCCTTCTCTCTATTCTAAGTCACTTAGAATAAAAGTATCAGGAAAATTATAAAGGAAATGTTTATATACAAACATAGACTAGCGTCTATGTCTGGTTAGCTCATGTTGACTTCAGTGAGGCCAAATTCTCCTTGACAAAAGTTCCCCTGGTACCTATACAACAGGGACTGCCAGTCAGGGAACCAGAGCAATGTTGAATTATTAATCCTCAACCCATCTTCTACGATCAATCCAAGTGATCGCCCCTACAGATCCGTCAATTCCGGACAGTGCACCCAGGCTATTCGGAGGCTTCCAGACACTGTCATGTGTAGTCAAACATGGAAATCCTGCCAAAAGTCCCTCCCCTGCAGTCAGTGGAGAGGCACGCAGCCAAATCACCGCCGCTGGTAACAGCGTCCACGGCAACGGCAGACAGCACCTCGAGAGCCGCCCCCTCCTAAGGCAAAGAGGGCCTCCCACTCAAATCGCCGATGTCTGCGGGGGACTAAAATCGAGTTGATCACAATGGAAAGGAAAATAACCACACAGAGCTGCCCATGAGACATGCGTCACGGTCCAAACTTCTCCTTGCATAGATTTAGCGGTCAGACTCGCCACGAGGCTCCCGTCTTTTCACCACGTGAGGGGACACTTCGAAATTATCATTTCTTCTGAGCAACAGCCACAAAGAAAAACAAACAGACCATATAAAAGTTAAGGATTTAATCCGCTACAATGGAAACGGCTCCAATGAGACAAACTAAGAAATAACAAAAAGTACTCTGCTCACCATGCCAGAATGCAAACCATAATATGAACACAAATATGATAAACATATAGGTTTCCGGTTCTCGTTGCATAATAGCCTGGAACCTGAAAATTACAACGACTTGACCCAAAACTAAGCCAGGGTTCACTTTCGGTTTGGAAGAAAACTATCCACCATCAATGACGAGTTATGGACAAGATTACGGCACCACGCGCCAGGCAGGCAATAACTATATTTATTCGGAGCACAAAAATCTAAATAGAGATTTATAGGGCAACAGCGGCAGGAGCGGCGGTAATGAGAATGAGAGATCTGCAAAAACGCCGGTGCAATGATGTGGAGTAGAATTACTGAAAATAAATCTGAAATGCGTGGAGCTGAGCTCTTTATAAATGACCAACACCTCCACCGACGTCGCTGGTATAACACCTGGCCCCCGTGTTACGATATTATATTCAGCTGCCTCGCATAGTGGGACTCCACAATAAATAAACCAAACTGTCGTCGGGGGGGGGGTTACACGGGGAACCGTGACGTACACAGACACATCTGCTCGCCGTTGACCCGGAGGCTCGGGTCCCAGATGCCGCCGCCGTCCATGCTCGATACTCCCCGGTCCGCCCTTATTCCTCAGCATCCGGACCAAACACCCCGTGAACAAGCCCAGAATAACAAATAACCACACATCCTCTATGCTAGAGTAAATAATATATATTTATTATTTTATGTACCCGGAATCAACCAGCATGTAGGCTATCAGATAAAGCAGCAAACCCAAAGCGCATGAGCCCGTCCGGGCAGAGTGAGAGGGCGCGCGCCAGCGGCACTAATCTGAAAAGGAATTAAGGAGCAGTTTGTGTTCCGCCAGAAGCAGCTAAACATGCAAAGTCCCAATCCGGCCCGATCTAGCTGAAGACTCGTTCTGTAGGTGTTCACCACCATCTCCACGGCCCACACGATGTCAATAATTCCTGAAATAAAATTCTATTCTAAAGCGGTCCTCTACCAAGTTACTGGCGCTCAAGTTCGGCTTAAGTTGTATAATAACTGAAGGCGCAGTACAGATATCAGAAATGACCACTTTATACATTTGTAGCAAGTACGCTGGCATGTTAAATCATGGAGATCACATTATCCCCTTCTGTATGAAAACCTATATTAAAGTGAAATATTTCAGTTCATTCACTTTAACTTCATTAATGTGGCTGAAATGGATAAACTATAAACGATAAAACAAATCTAAAGGTAGAAAATGAACTTGAATGCTGAAAAGCTTTACTTCTCCAAAGACAGCCAAGTGTCGATGAGTTGCCTACTCACCAGGTTTAACAGTCTTCAGGCGAATGGGTTCCCGAAAGTGCCGAATGACAGCCAGGGTGTCGCGGTTTGTTAGCCCGCTGACGGGGGTGCCGTTCACTTCCAGCAGGACGTCTCCCGGACTGGGCAGCCTGCCGATGTGACACACCAACACCTCCGACATCACCTGGCCCAGGTGGGGAAACTCTCCGAGGTCGGCTCCCCCGCGAATTTCCACAGCCGAGCTGAACTCCCCGGCGTTCCCCCAGGATAGGGCACACTCTTGCACTTTGCTGGACCAATGTTTCTTCTTTTTCAGCGTTTTAGACATGCTGGCTTCACCGCGAATGCTTTTCCGAAAGTCTTATCAGAAATGAAATTTATGTTGTTTCCCGGACGTGTTTGCCCCCCCCCTCCTAGTACACAATCACACTAAACATAAGAGCCGCGGTGCAGTGTAGACTCGAAGATGAAGTAATCTCTATGCTCATTACGCATGCCATTCCTTGAACTGTAACACTTTTTAAAAGTATCCCTTTATTTATTCATACATGGCAACGCATGGAAAATGCATCCAGTTTCAAAACGTCTTTGGTTGCAGATTCAGCGCTGCTTAAAATCAGCGATACAATGTAGCCAAAATCAGGCACCCAGATGTGATCGCAGCACGGGAGGGACTAAAATGTGTTGCTGGTCTACTATGGTATATTCAATAAATATTCCCACAGTGCACAACACCCTGTCACCAGATTCCCCGTCCACGTCATGCATGTTGTTCTGCGCGGGGTTAGGCTACCGCGCGCCTATGTGATTCTTGCAACTGCAAAGCAACGATAAAAGTGTAGCGCGCCGATAAAAGGTGGGAGCAGCCGAGGCGAAGCGTGACGAACCGCGAGCTGGAGTCAGTCTGTCACGAGCGACAAACAAACCGCGCCATGCTCACCGTAACAAGTAGGCATGCTGTTGAACCTAAACCGACGTGACGTCTGGTCGGCTGCCAGCCAACAGACAGGTGAATCTGGTTAGTTTTTTATCATTATTTCAGCCGTTCGTGACGAAAAAATTTAAGAATTTGCATAACAACAACAAAAAAAAAACTATAATTAAGACCACGCGTTAGTGAACGGATGGAGAAATTTGCCTGTGTAATATTCACCACCTCGGTTTCTTCTTGCTCCAACGGGGGACTGCCAGTCGGTAACTTGTACTCCTTAACACGCAGTGTTTTCGCGGCGAAGGCAGGGCCAGCGCTCTCCCCAGCCCGGCGAGAGACACCTGGCACCGACGCTAAGCACTTTGCGGCGTACAGATAATAAACGCCAAGTGTAGCCAAGAACTCCACAATCCTCACGAAGCCAGGCTGTACTTCATCCTCTGGGAAATTATGGCATTTGGGCGTCGCGTCCTGTCCGCGGCCGAGGGGAGGGCTGTCAGCGGATGTCTCGCGGTGACACAGCGGCGCTCCTAAGCTCTGGATGAGAAATTATTAAAGAACTTTTCCCAGTCATTTTAACCTTGTTTCTCGCGCTGGGTTAGGGGAGGGGGGAGCCGTGAGCCGGTGACTGATGTGGCTCGGAACCAATCGCAAAGAAGGGATACGCCTAAAATTGTTGAATGACAGCCAATGCTGAAAGAAGTTGGGCGGGTCTTTCGCGGAGGTTTCGCCCTTTAAGGCCAACACAATAGAGATAACGCCATTAACCCATCCGGCGCTGAGGGTAATGTGTGGCAAATACTAACTGTATGGCTATCAGTACTATCAACAAGTTTAAACCACCTGTTACTCAGTTATAATCTTAAATTACAGTATTATTTCGTTTATTAAACGAAAAGTTTAAAAACTAGAATAACTTTTTGGAACATAGTTAATCATCCCATGCTTAAGCATTTTTATTTCGTAACGTAAAACATATTTTATACTATATGAAGAGAAGGCCCCATAACAGTACATTTTCGCACAAAGTACTAGGCCTGTGTCAGCAAATTGTGAAGTTCTGTCTGTTGAAATAAACGTTAACAAACTTAAAACAAATACACCTACCAAATAGTCGAAATACTGGTCATTCTTTAAGATAATGCGCTGAATCATAATATAAAACCTGGAAGAAAGCATGCTGCATGGGTGTTGGTTAAATTGGAACCTTCTCCAATCATAATACTTGTCCATGACGTTAGTGAATTTTGAAACGCGTCCAGCGCAAAAAATAAAATGTAATTTAAAGAAATACGCCCATTGTTCTTATACTAATTAGAGCGGCTGATGGGGATAGGCTCCGTAATGGCTCACAGCTGCCACCTAGTGACATTTCCATGTATGGGCAGTCCGCACAGCGTGTACAGAGTGAGGTGCACTTGCTGATGCAGCGTTGAGATTGCTTGTAATTAGTAATACTGAAATTCGCAGAAGAAATGCGTTTGTCCATAGTAGCTATACCATACAATTTTGAAGATGTAATCCATTCCGTATGGTATTTAGTATTGTGCGATCCAAGACCGTAGGCATCAACATTAGGGGAGCAATCCTGTATGTGGTCTTGTGTATTTCTGCCAGTTCTGGTTTTCTGTTCTAGGAGGCCATTCAGGTGTACTTCAGTCTAATAGCCCACAGTGAAATATCTATTATCTAAACATCAGGCATCTGACGCATTTCCTGTGTATCTCTGAATAAACTGATTGTAAGGCTTCATAAAGCCAGTGACTGAGTCCTACTCAAAATGTTTGTCTGTTTAGTCCTTTTGTGGCTAAACTATTTGTTTTGATAATAAAAGGTGATGCGTCAGTATTGCTGAGGAGCCTTATCAAAGACGAGTGCTTATTTTCTATTCAGTACATGCTCATGGACAGGGATGGAGAAATGAAATTACCGAGAATGAGAAATTAGGAATAGACCAAGTAGGGAAACTGGTAATTATTTTCCTGTATAACAGCTATGCTCTTTAAATATTAGAAGGAGTTAGTGTTCTCTGAGGCCCCAGCTATCTCCATGGCGCCTTAATTGTAATTCTAACTAGGTAGAGTAAATTAATGTTCAGTCATCCAATTTAGGAAAAATCAGACTCGAAAAACTGGCTGTGTACGTGTTTAATGCGCTTATTTATCCACTTCGGTAAATGTTGAGAAATCGCAGATTCTTGTGGCCATCTAATAAAGGGTCGGCATTGTTACTACCCTAATGGACATTGTACCTTTTTTTAACTGAATATCAAAGTTATTGATTTTTAAGTTGCAATTGGATGTTGATGATTTCATCCATTTTGCTGAAAAGGTGTAACATTTAAGACGGAAAGCCCATTATCAGTTAGTTATTTGCTGTCGGAGGGTACATATTGTGATATTTTATCCATGATTTTTATATGCAGAAGCCCATCACTTATATAAGTGGATTTTAATTATCAAAAGAATCGGTAAAAGCATAAGTCTGGCTTTTAACGGTAATGCTCAGCGGCTGCTACCGGCACACCGACTGTAAAGCAGCTCAAGGACGCGTCGTATGAATCGGTGAATGAAGACAGACATTGATAGTGACAGAGCAATTTCATTTCCTGCAGTAAAATAGCTTCAGCATAAGCGACTAAGCCGTCGCGAAGTGAAAAGCTGCTGTCACCTTTGACAGATGAGGCTGTCCTTCCACACACTGACGGTGTTTTTGGTAGTCCGGGCTACGTCTTGTCGTCGGACGTTCGTTTGTGCAAATGCATCGACGACAGTCACCCTGTTGGGCTGTTTTTTAACCCCCATATTTTTCCTGGAACATCACTAAGGCAAAATCTATAAGTCTTCAGCTCATCATATTTTGCAGTAGTGATCATATATCCATATTCAGAGCGCCACGGTTACCTGCTGTTATAGATATTTTTGACTCACCTGGTCTTGAAATGCCAGGTTTGAACAGGACAAATTCAAACTTATGCTGGGCTCAGAACGTCATTATTTTTATTGGTTCAGGGTGCACTGATGGAATTTCTATTACTTTTCCAGGTTTATTTTAATTAAATCCATCAATTTCAACAAGCTGGAATAAACTGTAGCCGGTAGAAAATTGGATCTACACGTACTCAGACATGAATTAAGTATTCCATTTGGTTCTGCCTGTTCCCTGGAGAGAGGTAAGTACAACCAGCAGTACATAAGATCTCCTATAGATTACAGTTTGTGTGTTTATATACACCAGTGAACCAACACATTAAGACTACTCCCATTCGAAGAAAATAGCATAGACTATCTTGAAAAAATGGTGCATGTCAAGGTCTGAAATATATTAGACAGTGAGTTCACATTCGGTACTCATAGGTGACGCGTAGCTGAGTATAGTGTTTAATGCAGAAGAAATGGGCAGGCAGAAAGATCTGAATGACTTTGATGAGCCAAATCGTTATGGCCAGACAACTGGGCGAGAGCATCCATGAAACAGCAAAGGCTTGTGGAGTGGTGGCGAGAACCTACCAACAGTGGCCTAAGCCTTCCGAAGGAGACAAGATCAGTGCGCTTAGAATCTGGTGACTGGACGGACCAGGCAGCCTGAAAGGAATGGATACACTTAGGCAGGTACCTTGACCGAGCTAAAAGTCTTAAATGTTCAGCTTTATTTATATGTATATTGGTTTTAAGTCTGCCTCTGTATCAAGTGACTGATTGTACATTTATCAAGTGATGCACAAAGACACACAGATAAACCACGTTCCAGCCTTGTAGAAGCTGAAATCAGTCAGAATCTTGCTTAACAGTAAAATGAACAATGCACCCAGTGCTCTTCGGCTATATTTGATGGTGAAATGCATGACTTTGAACTGTGCTTAGGAAATAAACATTTTTCATTACTTGTTAAGCTCATTCATGTGACACTATATATTAGTAGAATTTGGGGGTTTAGGGACCTTGCTCAAGAACCCACTCTGCTAATCCTAGGATTTGAACAGGTGACCTTCTGATTACAGGTACAGGATCATAACCCGCTGAGCCACACACTGTCCCTAAAGAGTGGGGGAAATGTTCAAGATTCGAAATGTAACCTGCATTGTTTTACCACATCACCACCCACTGAGAGTGAACCTGCAACCTTAGGGATGGGAGTCAGGCAATAGGGAGTGATGTGGGCTAGTCTATGCTTGCCACATCCTTACCTTGAGCACTATCACCATTTTTCAAATTGGGTTCTCACCACCAGCAGGCGAGATGCACGACCCTGCATCGTCATCAGCGCTTGGTAATAACAGGATTAATGGGGCTTAGAAATCCATGAAGTGTGGCAGCTGTCATCCGCTATCAATGACAACCCACTTCCTGTCCAAAGATCCTCATAAGGTTACTGGACGTCAGGCTGCCCTTCGCTTCAGGCATTTCCATTACATTTCTAGAACAATCGACTCATTCAGCAATGTCCTTCATACTGCTAGCACTGCAAAAAATTCCCAGCTCTCTCACACACAGTCTTAAACCAGTAACTGTCATGTGTTCCCAGGGATCTCAGGTGACATCGCTCTGCTGAAGTTGGCATTGTGACAAGCTGTAAGCAATACCAGACCCCCCCCTCCCACCCACCCCACTGCCTCTTTTGATTACTCCATGAAGATGGCCGACGTTCCTGGGATACACATGCGGCCGTAATAGCTGCTGCAAAGCCGTGGTTGTGAAATGAGCTGGTTTCTTGCACCCTACTGCCAGGGATAAGTGATGACACAGCTGGTGAGCAAAAGTGATTTCTACAATCAGGAGGAACCTTCACACTCCGGGTCCTACTTTCCTCAGGTTCCCACCATCGTCTGTGCAAAACCTCAAACACAAAACCCAAAGGCAGCCAATGAAGAACGATGCAAAAACATCCTTATTTCTATTTATTGTTTCAATGATGGCTACAATTCAAGAAACAAAGTGTCCTTTACACATGCTTTACATATAATACAGGTATTCGACAATGACTCGAAAGAGAATCTGCATTTTGTAATACAGGAAAACAGGCAGCACTGAAATAAATGGAAAAGCAAAATGCAGAACTTTGGTATAAATGCAAACAAAACTGGCGCAGCTTTGAAAACAGGCACATCCAAGAGTTATCAGGCAAGTCCTCGCTGAATAAGCCCAAAAGCACGTCCTTTGGAGAGTTCTGTTTTGGATTTCATTATATGCATAGCTTTGGATGCATGTACGGATGAATGAGCACATAAATTTGTATTGTTTAAAAACTACCCACTGCTCTCTCCAAACCGTCTTCTGACGGCAAATGAGAAGAATGTGAAAAGTATATTTGTGTGTTACACTAACTGCTTTAGACCTAGGTAAAAGCTTAGAATAAATTTATTTTGGGGAAATAGGCACCCAAAGACAAACAAGTAGGGACCGACTCTTTTCTCGCAGGAACGTGTTAAGCGTAAGGGAAAAGTCACTTTAGTCTTCTGTTGGCTAAAAACAGTTTGGGAGGGGTGCAATTGTGCAAATTTGAATACGATGATCTGTTAGCTCACAGACTTACCTTCAGGCACAACTGCATACCTCAGAGACACTACAGAGGAGTGGAGTCTATAAGGAAGAAAAAATAAAAAAAAGACTTTCACATGGAGATTTCATTTGCAACTGAAAGGTCAGCTGCGCAAAACAGGGACACGGGAGAGGAAAACTAAATGTAAAGTGCCCATGGTCTGTTTCCATAAGGCTGGCGAAGCAGTCATGTGTAGGCAGGCACCATATATACTCCATACCTGAATGCGAGTGACTTTCAACCAGCTTCTGCAGCCTGAAACAGCTTGAGCTCACCGGGAACAGTGTGCAGCATATTTCTACAGCATCAGCTAGTAGAACAAAAGGTGCGAATGTCGTTTCACCACCATATGACTTGTCTCCAGGGACTCTGAACAAATGCACTTAAATGGTGCAAATTTTTCACTTTGCTAATACCCCAGATACAGTGATAAATGGTTGAAATTGCCATGATAAAAATAACAGGTACCATAAGTATGCTTGCGATTCATAAATAATATGATTAAGCATGTGTCCCCTGCACATGAATCACCAGCATTTCTCAGAAGAGAACCTTAAGTGGTCAGTATCAGCTTCAGTGCTTGACATCTTGAAAGAGTGGTGTGCAGTCTGCACACACTAAGCGTGGAATAAGTGGTAAGAAACCAGGCAGGTGCAGAGGAAAGAACTGAACGGGGAACAGAGCCCAAATTAAACAATGTGTGGTGGGTGGAAACGCTGCTCTTCTCTGCATCATACACACCTAAAACCAGTCTCTCTCTCTCTCTCTCTCACACACACACACACACACAGATAAACAATACTGACAACCTCTGCCTCCGTCAAGATACCCAATTACCAATGACAGCTATGGATTTTTTTTTTATATGTGCAATACACCATTTCTTTAGTTAGAGTTCTCATAAAAACATCATACATTACTTAATGTGCTATATAGAGGTCCAAAGAAACAGAAAAAAATGTTTAACATTTACAGGCAGCAGAAAACAAAAACAGAACATAGTAAATAATACAACGTATATATACACACCAAAAACAGGTGGGCGTTTGGGAACGCTCGGCCTGCTGGGATGCGTCAGAGCGTATGCGAGAGGCACACGGTCCTAAGCAGTGCTGTCACATATGGAGGCTGCTCGATTATTCCAGGCTTGCAGACTGTCCTCTCAGAGCCCCCTGGGATTCTCCGAGGCAGCTGGGGCTGGGGGGTGGGGGGGCGGCGGCTGGAGCAGAGTGGATGGACCTGAACCGCTGGTTCTCCCACGTTCTTCACTCAGACGCGAGACTCCAGAGGCCATCCACAGTACCGCAGCGAATGCATCCACACCAGTGTGTGCAGTACGTACATTCAACAGCCGCGCCCCTGTCAGAGCAGCAGGGGCGTGGAAGGGGGGGGGGGGGGGGCTGGCCCAGGGATTTCCAAATCAGCATGAAATGCTTTCCATAGAAGAAGAAGAAAAAAGAGAAGAAAAACCACAAAAACCAGACGGGGGAGGTCGATGGAATGTAAACATACACAAATGCATTTTTTTGGCAGATAGTGGAAGTCTCTTTGGAGGTAGTGGGTATAAAAGAATGAGGGGGAGAGGAAGAGGAGAAGCTTATGTGGGGGAAGAGGGTTCCTGGGGGTTAGTCCTGTAGGAGGCACTGGAGGGCTGCTGAGAGTGGGGGCCCGGCGTGCCGTCAGCCACCAGCTGCCCTTCCTCGCTCCCCTCGCCGGATCCTCTCAGCCGGGGAGCCTCGTGGGCAGTCACGGACTGTGGGGGCGGGACAGTCCCGGGGGCCCCTTGGGACAGGTCCTTGCCTCGCTTCCAAAACGGCCTTCCTGGGACATCTGCAAAAAACAGAGTGACAGATCTGCAGCCATCACCGACAGAAATCCGGAGGACGACAATGCGGTAACGGCCATACAGAAGCCATCGTAAAAAAGAACGATGGAGACCTTAAGTTTTATCTTCTAGTGATTATTCCTTTGTGACGCCTTCATTCATAGGTTTTCCCCATAAACTCCCAACACTATGAATATTTTACACCTGCCATAACCGACGGCTCTGCGTATAAATCACCATCGCCGCTTTTACGGGGAGAAGCTGCAGGAGAGTCTCCGCTGCCGTGACTAATCTCCCCTGAAAGAGCTTCTTGTTTACAGCCGGAGCCCTTGGCCCAAGCCGGGAAGTTTCCGTCAGACATGCGATGCGTCTAAGTGCTGGGGAGCGGGCCAGCGAAGACCTGCTGCGCGATTCATTTTGTAGACGCCCTTTGATTTGTTAGCGATTTGACGGTGATTTTGCCTATACGGTGAAACATTAGGATACATAATAGGCATATTTGCACGGGTGTAGGCTGTGCCGCCAGGCCTCCAAATACGGCGCATGCTCACCGGCGGCGTAGGGCTGCAGGGAGCTGTGGGCGCTCAGCTTCTTGTCGTGGCTGGCCAGGAACACGGAGGTGTCCTGCTGACTGACGAGGCTCTCCAGGGCCGTGTCCTCGTGCTGTGCGTGTCCGCCGTAGGGCTCCTTGCTCAGCTGTGCCACGATGCCAGAGAGGCCTCGCTCCAGGGGGTCGTCGTCGGCCAGGTAGGCGTAGGGGCAGTACTCTCGGGTACGGGAGTAGATGTTGGCGTTGTCGTAGCAGTCCGAGCAGATGACCAGCGGGCCCGTGCCTCCTGAGGGGAATGAGCGAGATGTTCATGACGGTCCATCTTCACAAAACCCAGAATTTCTAGTCTGAAGCTCCACACAGGAGGAGCTCTGGTGTAGACTGGCTTCCCCGTGGCAGACTCACCTGTGGGGGGCCCAGCCAGGCCCTCGCGAGGCTCCCCGGGGTGGAAGCTGCTACGCCCGACGAAGAGCCCGCCCACCCGGCTGCCTTCTGCATCCACGTCGCTGCCCGAATCCCCATAGCAGACTCCTGTCAGATGCGACATGCCGTCACCACAGGCAGACCTAACCAAACGAGCCCCGAGCCCCACAATCCTCCTTCAGAAGTACATCAGAGTAAGTAAAAGGGGATGCACCTTCGGCGCCCTTGTGGACGTAGCCGTTGGACATGGGGGGCATTAGTTGCTGGTGGCTGCCGGCCTCCGAGTTGCTGTAGCCCTCCTGCGGCTCGGACAGCGTCCCCTGAGAGGACAGGTAGCTGGGTATATCCGGCGGCAGGTTCATCTCGTCTGCAAGGATGAAACACAGAGTCTCAGACCCCCGCAAGAGGCACCACGAGCCAGAGGAGCGACTGAAACCAGAACTTCATACAAAGACGACCTGGAATGAGACTTGGAAGAGCAAGGCAGATGGGATTACTGCATGCAGCCAATCAGGGCCTTAATTAGCCCAAGTAGGACCAACAAATTACCCAATGAGAAGTCTGTTGACTCACTGATCCCACCCACCATTGATTTCAAAGCCTCTCCGCCCACCGCCCTCGCCCTCCCTAACCTGTGTTGGTGATGCTGTAGTCCTCGCTCTTCCTCCGCATGTGGTAGATGACGATGACCCAGAGTAGCGAGGTGCCCACCACGCAGCATACCACCACCATGATGACGATGCCCACCATGGTCCAGCCGTCCTCGTCGTAACCGGCGGCCGTCTCGCAGCTGGCCGATGGCGCGACGCTCAGGTAGATGTGGCCGCGCTCCGTGCCCAGCGTGTTCGACATGATGCAGGTGTACTTGCCGGCGTCGGCGGGACCCGTGTCCACGATGATCAGCAGCTGGTTGGCCGCCGCGAAGAAGTGGCGCTCCGTCAGCACCAGCGGCCCGTCGTCTTTGGTCCAATTAAGGCGGGGGGCCGGGCTGCCCCCCGCGATGCACTGTAGCACCGCTGTCTCCCCCCTCGCCACCGTCCGGTCCTCCAGTGGTCGCGCGAACGAGGGCGTTTCTGGCAGGAGAGAGGGCGGCTTGTGAGGAGGAGGAGATCCGGGGCTTATAATTCATACAGAGGGGTCAATCTTATCATTAACCAATGATATGTTTTGAATCAGTGAGTGACAGGGGAAGGGGCGCTCTGTGGGCCAATCAGCTTTCAGCTGGGGCCAGTGTCCCTGTGGTTCTGACCCTGCAAGGCCGGGACATACGAGTGCAGTGCTGATTACAGTGGAGCCCAGAATCTGAAAGTGACCTCTCTGCAGACAGCATGTTAGTCAGGGAGCCAGAAACAAAGGCTGATGTCGTGCTAGAACACAGAGAGGGAAACAGATGGACAGAGCCGTTCTCCTGGAACGGAAGCCATGCTCCAGGGGCTGACTGACCGCGCTCTCTCAAAAAATGTATGTCGCATTGGGTAAACGTCTGCTAAATAAAAACCAAGTTCAAATTCCTACGCAGACTGTAGCTGGCTAGCAAACACTGGTGGTACTTAAATTATTATCAGAGGAGGGGCACAGAAAAGGGGAGGGTGCATTCGAAGTAAAGCACCATATTTTCTTAAACTGCACAATAATTGTGTGCATATTCATGTAATTCCAGGAGCTACTAAAATTACAGCTGCGTCACGTAAGCGCATTGGGGAAGGCCGCGTTCCCATGTCCTATGATGGACGTTAGTCACAGCCAGTGCAAATGGGCAGGACCTCGGATCTTTCCATTGGCTATGCTTGACGGGGCGGGGGGGGGGGGCACTCACCCAGCACCGTCAGCGTGGCGTTGGTGGACAGGCTGCCGGCGGCGTTCTGCGCCGTGCAGCTGTACACGCCCATGTCCTCCGTCTTGACGTTGGCGATGAAGAAGATGTCATCATCGGGCATGACGTGCATGCGGCGTTCGCGCGCGGCGGGGAAGTCCGTGCCGCCGTCCTTCTGCCAGGCGATCTGCGGCGACGGGTGGCCCTCAGCGGCGCACTCCAGCCGTGCCATGGCTCCCGTGCGGATGGTCAGGTCCATCGGGGTCTTCAGGAACGAGGGCAGCTCTGTGGGGGTGGGGGGGGGAGAGGGCTGGTCTCACTCAGAGCCCAGAGAGCCGAAGCGGTAGGGACCGCAGACCCTGCCCGCTATCTTTCAGCCGGGCCTCACAAAAACACAAACATACTCACACAATTTGCTCTCCGATATGTATAGTTAAATCTGTATTAACAAAGCTTTTAATTCGGTGATTATTTTCCACATCAGGCTTGCTGACCACAACATTTCTCAAAGGCTCCCCCTAGTGTTTGAACCCCTAGAAATCTTCCCTTTTCTCCCCTTCATACATGGCCCTGGTGATCAGACGAGGCGTTTTCTAAAAACTAATCACAGCTGCTCAAAAAACATACAAGCCAGAGGTAATCTTACCAAGCAAATTTACAATTAATTTAAATACATAGATGTGGGTAATGTGACTGACCGATTACAAATCAATTACACGTGTGTAAAGTTCAGGTCCAGAAATTAGAAATTCAGGACAAGGTTTTGTTTCTACCGACCAGCTGAGTACTCTGTGAGTGTGACTCATCATACTTGTTGGTTGGTAGAAACAAATCCTTGGTCTGGATTTGTACTTTCTAGACCTGAACTTTACATCCCTGATCAGTTATAAAATGAGAACTTGATCCTACTGACTCTGACCCCTGTGGTTCTTAAACTCAAACAAATGACCGGTTCTACAGGCTGTTCTAATAATTCCACACATGCCGTCAGCAAGTCCCGTTTTTATGCGAGCTGAATGCATGCTAAAAAAAAAAAAAGGCAAGATGGTTTAATTACAGAGGGGAAGATTGCCAATTCTGGGGCCAGACATTTGTACTATTTATTTTCAATGTGAATATTCTTGTGCTAAATATATAAAACGAACCATTTTATACAGAAAACATGAAAAATAAACAAGAACAAGCTGAACAACCGCCAAGAATATTTCTCAGCATTTAATCACCACAGAACAGATTTAGGCAGAATTTAGTGACTTCGATTCAGAAACGAAAGATATATTAGCAGGCTTTGCTTGAAGCTCGAACTCTTCTGATGACAAATCCCGCCGTCAAAATATAACTAAAAATTGCAGAGTGGCATTTTTCAAGTTTTCTGGAGCGTGCCCAGTCACGTTCAAACCACGCAGTTTCCCTCATGCCTCAGCACAAAAAATTATAAAATCAGGATTTAAACAAAACGACAACGACCCAAAAACATTTTTTAAAGGCACGGCTGGGAAAGCAGAGATTCATCCGATGCAAACTGATTTACTTTGATTTACTACTGCGATCTGCCTGGCTGGCGCCATGCATATGAGTTTAGAAAATTAACTGGTGCCCTTCTGACCAATCAGATTTGAGAATTCAGTAGCACCATGGCCTAAAATGCAGTAAAAGCCACTTCTCACCATTGACGGTCAGCTTGGCCCGGTTGGAGTAGTTGGAGCCAAAGTGGTTGGTGACCACGCACTGGTAGCGGCCCTCGTCGGTGAAGTTGACATTGAGCAGGTGCAGCACAGTGGTGTAGACCAGCTCGCCATCCTGGTACCGGGCGAAGTTCTGCACCTGGGCGTCGTAGAGAACCTCGCCATCCTTGCGCCAGGCCGTGCTCATGGGCGACTCACTGCTGCTGATCGCACGGCAGCTCAGCGTCACATTGGTGCCCCGCAGGGCCACAGAGGTCTCTGGGTGGGCCGTGATCTGGGGCGTCGGGAAGTCATCTGCACGGCGCGAGGGGGAAAAACACGGAGACGGTATCATCAGAACTGGGCTGGGCCCATGGAAGCTGCATCTACAGAGTGCAGTGTGTGGCTCCGTGGATTAGGTCTCTGTGCCTGTGATTGGAAACTCGCCAGTTCTTGCTCCGCAGTAGAGCCACTTCACTGTTGGGACCAAAAGCAAGGCCCGTAGCCCCAGCCCCCAGAAACAGGTTCATGGGGAACTGGCTAAATTCCCTGACGCCGCACTCAGACTCCAAGCTTTGCTCTCAAAGGTGGCATATGCAATGACTAACAGCCTTCCCATGTCACTGTACTCACACTTGCGCAAACGGCAAATAAATCATCATTTCTAAAGACCCAGACACGCGATGGGCCAAGAGGCACTCACCACAGACAAGCTGCTCCGGCATGAGGGACAGGATGCTGCGGTCCAGCAGGCCCGCGGGGTGGGAGCACACGGCCGTGACCGACTGCTGGAAGCCGTGCTTTGTCAGCCACTGGGCCAGCCACTGCAGGTGGCAGTCACACAGGAGGCTGCTCGTGTTCAGGAGTCTGGGGGAGACAGGAGCACGCGACTCAGACGACTCCAGCTGCTCCGATCAGTCTGACCATCCCTACTTTTCCGACGCTTTTAAACCAGGGGTCCCAAAGTACTAGCCTGGGAGACTCTTCTATCTGGACTGCATGCATTTTTTAAATCATTATTTCGCTCGTGGGAGTTTTACTTACACAAAAATGTTCTGAGGGCAAAATAGAAAACGACGGGTTCAGAGTGATAGCCAATCAGATTGTAGAGGAGATGGGTCCAAGCAACTAGAAGAGGTGGGACCAAGACATGACTGGACCTCCTTCCTCTACAATCTGATTGGTTATCACTCTGAACCAATTATTTTTCGTTCTGCCCTCAGAACATTTTTGTGCAAGTAAAACTCCCATGAGCTATTATTTCATCCTCATCATCAAATTGTACTGCTGCCCCCTGCCCCCCCCCCCCCCCCCCCCCCCCCCCCAACCTGGTCGGCAAATTTTCACCTAAGTGCCCCCCTTGAACTCCCAGCCAGTGGGTCTCTTGAGTTTGAGACCTCTGTATGTTACCAAATTTGCAGGTTTAAAAGTTTCAGTATCCAGAACTTGTACTCTACAGTAAGAGCACGGCTGTGGTATCTTGGACAGGTGCAAATGCCCTACATTAAATAACTTGCAAAGAAAAAAACACACTGAAATAGTGCAGCGGCATTTCCAAAACGCAGAATGTAAATCAGCGACGGCCCATTTAACAATCCCACAACGATGATGAAGATTTAAACCCCCTTAACTTTTACTCCACAAGTCTGTGCCTATTTTTACCAAAGCTGCAGAGAGCAGAGTCCTTTAAAAGCCCCCCCCCCCCCCCAGACTCACAGCTCCTTCAGCTTGATGTGGGAAAAGGCTTCGGGATGGATTGACATGATGCCGTTCTTGCTCAAGTCACTGTTTGAGGGGAGATAAAAATAAAGAGGCGTGACGATGACGTACCGTGTGGCAGCTGAGAGCCATCACAAGTGACAGCTGCTTTGTCCCGCTTCTGCGTGATTTTAACAATAAAAGGGGGAAGATATGCACACCTCTGCCGTATGCAAACAAAACTCCATCAAATTACCATAATTACCACAGAAATGTGAAGGGGGGGGGGGGGGCAGCTGGGAGTCTAATGCAGTTTTACAGTTTTCATTGAAATGCCACCAGGGGTGTACGAGATGCCATCATTCATCCAGAGGGGCCCACTGTATCATTAGCCAATGATATGTTTTGAATCGGTGACTGACAAGGGAAGCGGCACTGCGGGAGCCAATTAGATTTCAGCTGGAGCCAGTACCCGCATGGTCCCGCCCCTTTACAAGTCCCTGAATGGCCCCCTTAAAGAGTCGTGAAAATAATATGAGGTTAACTTGCAGCAAAACGACGCTCCCTTTAATTGAATATCCAGTCACTGGAGAAAGACAACCTCACGACCCTCATTAAAAGCCCAGGCGAAGGATTTCTCTGTTTCACCAATGCGGCATTTTTTGTGACGACCACGTCTGAAGCCCGGATCTCTGGTCTCAGCCAATCGCGAAAGGAACAAGGCCCCTGGCTGCTATGAGGTACTCACAGGTGCTCCAGTGCCTCCAGTCCATCAAAGGCCTTCTTTGTGATGGATTTGATCTTGTTCCGCTGCAGTACCCTGAGAACGGCACACCCGGGTCAGACACCTGCTCTGGGGGACTGGAAGCCTTTCACAGCTATTCCAGCAGCCCTGAGGCCTTGTGCTTGACTCGCACTCATTAGACGTAAAATACCGCAGGTAACAGGAAACAGGGATCGCAATAATTAAGAGGACGCCACTCACAACTTGTTCAGCTTCTTCATCCCCATGAAAACTCCGACAGAATCCTCAATGGCCCATGAGATCTCATTATTCCGGATATCCCTGAAAAGACAGAGACAAATGCACAGAGCCCACACCAGGGGGAGTGAGATCTTTAGAAGAGGGGAAGCAGACCCACTTCAGAAAACAGCAGCTGCCGCCTGACAATTTCCTTCGCCGTGTCCAATTAAGAGCCCGACAGGCAGAGAGGCAGAAAGAGGCACTGTATCGTTCCTCCGTTTCCCCAGCAACAGTCGTCAGCATAAAGCTTCTGGAAGCTTCCAACCACTGTCCTGATTAGGGCATAATTATAGCACTGCTGGCTCCTTCTCTAATTGGACGAGGGCCTGTGCTCAGGGAACAAACATGGCTCATTGCTCTGCCCCTCACACCTGAGCTCCTCTGATTTCTCTGGGCCTGTTTGCTGGGTCAGTGACAAGACCGGTCTGTCTGGCACTACTCAGCGGCTTTCTGGAATTCAGGAATTTAACATTAAAAAGCACCTAATTATTCTGTTCGTGCTCCACTGCATACGGAGAGATAACCTTCCATGATTTAATTAAAAGGTGACATTAGGTTAATCGGGCCGAGCTGCCTGCATGAAATTCTGCTACTGCTCATTTTCTCAGCCTGTTTAATACGCCGAGATCCCCAACGCGCAGGAGGACGGTCGTCTGCCACGAGGCTCAGGGCGTCGCTGACGGTGCTCTTCGGGGAGCCTTGACAAGCAGTTACACTTAACCTCTAAACCGTTCATTAAGGGTGCAAGGATGGAAATCCCAGAACAAGACTGCAGACTTAAGAGAGAGTAAGGCAGGGGAGGAAATAAAAAAAATATTTGTGGGGCAAATTTTGCCCAGAGCGTCTAAGTCAAGGTATTTACAAAATTTTGGTGCCACTTTCTAAAAATAGTAATTAATGCATATACAGTGGTACCTCGGTTCTCGAACTTAATCCATTCCAGACTCCGGATCGAATCCTAAAAAGTTTGAGTTCTGATCGAATTTTTCCCATAAGAAATAATGGAAAACCAATTACAGTCGAACTTCGTTACAACGTACCTCGGGGGACATTAAGATATTGTACATTATAACCATAGTACGTTGTAACCAAGTCCCTCAAAATGATTGATAGAACACAAAATGTATATAAAAAAAACTTTTATAAAACACCCCTCAAGTTGACACTATGACATACAGCTTGTGTAGTTTGAAGAATATAGT